CCCCCCCCGCCTTTGCTCACAGGTCCCTTCCCGGTAGATCCCTTCCCAGTGCCATCTTTCTGGTCCTCTTATCTAAAGTTGCAAGTGACCCCACTGCCTCTTCTCCCCTCTCAGCTGGAATTCCTCCCTCAGCCCTTACCCTGTATCCAGTTGCATTTCACTGTGTCCTGGGTTCTTGGCTGGCTCTCCCTCCGTGAGAGGGCTTTTGTCTGTTTCAGTCCCAGGGCAGTGGGTGCTCCATAGGTGTTTGTTGAATGAATGAAGGCCGGGCGGGGGCAGAGGGGTCTGCGGACAGCCCCGGAGGCAGGTGGCAGTCGGGGCCCATCCCCCTTCCTCTGCACAGTGGGGCTTACTGTTCTGTACTGGACTATGAGACAAGCTCTGGGCCTTTCTCCCCCGGCAGGAGGGAGCAGCCCAGCCTCCCCTGCAGAGGTGTCAGTAAACATGGGGGTGCACTGTCCTGAGCGGGGTCTTCGTGGAGCCCTGGGTGGGGGTGCTCCTCCCTTCAGATTCTCGGGGCGTGAGGGAGGAGCCGGGGTGGGTGGAGGGGAACCAGTCCGTCTGGTTCAGGTGGAGGAATGGACCTTCCTTGTTCCAGGGCCGAAACCGAGGCAGCTCCCCGGGCCCCGGGCCAGGGCAGCTCAGCCAGAAGGAACAGGAGAAATTCCCGCTGCTTATCCAGCAGCTTCATCTCCCAGAGGCCGCGCTGGGCTGGAGGGCGGGGCAGGGGCGGGCAGCCTGGATGCCAGCTGGGCCTGGCCCTCGGAGCCAGCTGAAGTGTCCTCATTTTGTGCACATCACTAACTCTCAGTGGCCCGGGTTCCGGAGGAGAACAGATCTGGGTTCCAATCCTGCCCTGCCCTCTACCCAGCGGGTGACCGAGAGTAACCGCGGGCACATTTCCCTCAGTTTCTGTTTGGGAGATAGGGATAATAAATAGTACTGAGGGTTGTAGGGGCCTCCCCTGAGCTCCCTGCCTTAGAGCAGAGCCTTTGCTGAGCCCATCCTGCCATGTTCCCTCGGTGGCCCCACGAGGGCTGTGTAGAATCCCCTGTGGCTGGAGGGCTGGGGTGGGCACAGCGCGCCTGCTTCGAATAATAAAAGCAAAGGCAACTGTCTGGGTCCTTGACGCAGCTGCACACACTGTCCGCCAGGTGCTGGCACCCGCCCTGCCACGTGGGAACGGGGTGAAACAGCTTGGCTTCTCTGAGGTCCAGTTTCTCCTGCAGGGGCAATTAGGAGAGTCAGAGGAGGTGGAGTGGACAGGGTTTGGTGAGGCACCAGGTAGAGGTGACCTAGAGGGGACACACAGGTTATTTTCCCACCCCTGGCAGCCTGACTTGTGTCCCTCAGAGATGTGCTGGTGACTTCATCTTTCTTTCAGCAGCTTTTGCTAACCCCCTGGCAGGGCCCAGGACCTATACCGGGTGCCTGGACACATCTCTGAGTGAGACACTCGTCCTGCCCATGGGGAGCTCGCAGTCTGGGGAAGGAAACAGAATTCCAGTCCCGGAGGGTGGGTGCCTGGGGAGCTATGCAAGCACGGAAGAGGATTCTAGAACCCAGACTGGGGGAAGGGAACCTGGAGCAGGCAACATTTCAGCTGAGACCTGAAAGGCGAGTAAGTTCCTAGGCAAGGGCTTGGTATACTGTGGTATGCAGGAGGAGCCAAACAAATATTTCTTGACTAAATGAAAATGTGAGGGAGCCTGTGGCCTAAGGCCCCCCGGGGGACTGCGGTCTGTGGCCTCCAGCCCGACTGCTGGGAGCTCTGGGAGCTCTGGGAGAGACTCCCGGCCCTGTCTCTTCCCTCTAGGTGCTGGGGCTGCTGGTGTGGGCCCTGATTGCCGATACCCCCTACCACCTGTACCCGGCCTATGGCTGGGTGATGTTCGTCGCTGTCTTCCTCTGGCTGGTGACAATCGTCTTCTTCGTTCTCTACCTGTTTCAGCTGCACATGAAGTTGTACATGGTGCCCTGGCCGCTGGTGGTGAGTCTGGTGGGGGGGACTGTTTTGGGAGGGGGGTCCCAGGCTGAGCCCTCTGCCTCGGGAAGTCGCTGTGCAGTGTGACCTTCCCTACATGAAAAGTGGCAGGGTGGGGGCTGCCTGCAGTCCTCGGTGGCCCTCCGCCAGCCTGCAGAGCTGGGTGGGAGGGAGCATTGATGGTTTGGTGTCCAGTTTTTGTGAGTGCTGGGAGCATGAGCCAGGAAGGATACAGGCCTGATTTTCTCTGGGGAAGGGAGTAGAAGTGAGGGGCTGTTGGGTGGAAAGATCCGAGGCCATTTGGAGCCTTGAAAATATTTTTCCTTTGGGGGGCAGTTGGAGTGTGAACCTGTGTTGCAGAGGGTCTCTGGAGGCTGGGCTAGCCTGGCAGGAATACTCAGGCCGGGCCCAGTGTGTGCAGGATGACCTCGGGTACAGCAGGGTATCCACCCATTGCCTCCAGGGTAAAGCCCCTGCAGCCTGGAGAGGGTGGCGTCCCAGGTTTGCCCAGGTCAGTCTCCTTAAGACAAAGAGTGTCCACAGGAAGTACTCAGACCAGACAAAGTGCTGGGTTTTTTTTTCTCTGACCCGGAAAACCCCTGCAGCTGGGGTCTGAGGCTTTCAGTGAGCAGAGAGGAAAGAGAGGCACATGATTGTAAGACAAGCAAGGCTGGGACTAGGCGGCATTGTTTGCAGCTCAATGACTGTTTAAACTGAGGAAACGTGAGTCATCCTCAAGACAGAACGGGTTTGTTGGATCTTGACATCACTGCGGGAGGCAGGCAGTGTTTGCAGCGCCAGGGGCTTGGAGGGAGGATCCTGGGTCCCGGAGGGGGTGGCCTGACTTCGGGGCCAGGGGCCAGTCCCTGCCCCATGGTTCTGCAGATGGAGGGGCCCAGGTGTCTCCAGCCCCAGCGGTTGATCCCGGGCCATTGATGGCAAGGCCGTGTCCATTATACTCCTGGAGCTTTTTGCAGAGAGGCAGGGAAGGCTTGCCTGCATCTACAGAGGGCCGGATTGGGATTCCCAAATTGGGATTCTTCTGGAACGGGGGCTACCAGCCCCCTACAGGGCAGGCAAGATGTGTGAAGTGGGTCAGGAGTGGGTTCTGGAGAGCTCAGTACCCATCATCCCACAGGGAGATGCCTCTACTCAGCTCCAACTGTTGTTAGTGGGAAAGCAGGCCCCTTGGTGCCAAATCTATTTTATGATTGAAAGATTTTTATGAAATCTTCAGGTTTTCATATGAAATCTAATTTTACAATGTTGGTAATTAAAAAAATAATCTGTGGGATGAACCAAGCATGCCTGAGGCCATCAGTTTGCGGTCTCTGTTAAGACTATTTACTGGCTTCAGGGGCCAAGCGTTGGAGAAATGGCTCCCAGGCCTGGTTGTCAGCTAAGGGTCCTTTCTGCCAGTATGGCTCAGGATCCTGCTGGGTCCTGACCCGGGCATTTGACGTGGGGCCTTGAGCCTAGGATGTGGCCAAAAGGTGAATAGATTCCTCCCACTGGCGGCAGAGAGGGATATGAGCGCGCCCCCTCCCGCCCCCACCAAGGCCTTCAGTGTCAAAGAGAAGGGGAAGGGGGCCTGGGCTTGGTCCTGAGCGGACATGGAGGAGTGGCCTGGAGTTCTTTAGCTGGGATAGGCTGGGTTCCGCCTCTTGCCTGCTGGGAGTGTCTCCATTTCCCCTCCCCACAGCCTTGGGTGTTTCTGCTCCCTGCTCAGATGGCCTCCAGGCAGCCCCATGGACTGCTGCCTTGTGAGGCCCAGGTGTCCCCATCCCACCTTCAAGCACCAGCCCATTCTGGCTGCTAAGGGGTGTGCGGATGGGAACCAGGAGGCTCCAGTTACTGGAAGTCTCATATCTTACGCCCGTTTTCTCTTCTCCCACCCCCAGTTAATGATATTTAACATGGGGGCCACTGTTCTCTACATCACCGCCTTCATCACCTGCTCCGCTTCGGTTGAGCAGACGTCCCTGAAGGGCACCCGGCCACATAACCAGCGTGCAGCTGCCTCCGTGAGTATGGTTTCCTGGGCATCCTCAGCAATGACAGGGGACTGGCTAGAGCAAGGTCTGTGCCCCTGGACCCCCACGGCTCCCTGTCCTAACCCTCAGCAGGTCTCAGGGAAGCCAAGCTGACTTCCAGTCCTCCACAATTAACAGTTAAGACCTCGAAGCAAAAATCTTTTGGTTTAGACCATTTTGGGGGATTCGCAGGCTCTCCCATGAACTGATTCCAGAAAATTCTGGGTAGCTTTGGAATGTTGCCTTTTTAAAACTAAATCCCTGATGTGTCTAAAGTAGCTCCCACCCCTCAGTCACCCTTGTTAGCATATTGTCCTGGTGCTCTGTGGTTAATGGCCCCCCCTACTGGAAGGTAATGTTAGCACTCACCAGCCCTCAACAGTTAGATGTCAAATGAGTGTATGGCTCAGGAGTTGGTGTGGCTGCCAGAGCAAGTGGTCCGGGTTACTTGAGGGGCCCTAGGTTTCCCTGTGCCTATCCCAGGCTATCCGTTTTGTCCTAGTATCACTGTCACCACCCCTCCCTGCGCCATGCTGCAGACAACTCAGCTTTGGTATCTGCTCTTCTTTCAGTTCTTTGCCTGTTTAGTGATGATTGCCTACGGAGTGAGCGCTTTCTTCAGCTTCCAGGCCTGGCGAGGAGGAGGCAGCAATGCAGCCACCAGTCAGATGGCTGGAGGCTACGCCTAAACCACCTGTGCCAAGGCCCACCTTGGGGCTGAAGGCTGCAGCCAGGTCACAGTGCAGGGTTGCCCTGCAGGTCAGCCCAGAAGGGACCAAACTTGCTCCTCTCTGACCATCAGACTTGGGCTCACCCACCACTCCTAAGGAATCAGGATCCTTCCTCTGGCTTGGCCCAAGCTGGCACACGCATGGGTTGGACAGAGATCAACAGGCGAGACGTCCTGCTCATCCCCCTTATTCAGCAGAAGGTGACGGGGGATACGGGGCTCACTGTCTGCTGTCTTTAGAGGACGTCATTGTCCAAGGCGGGGCCCAGCCTTCTCACCAGCACTAAATATACTAACAAGGACTCCAGACCTACAACCCCTCACCCACCATAGGATAAGCCTAACAAGCAACGTGTATTTATCATCATCATAGTCTGTTCCAGGAGCCTTGAGCAAGCTCATGAAACCATTCAGATTCCTTAAAACACAATTCCAACCTGACCCTCCCCCAAACCAACATGTCACTTGTAGGGAGACATCCCTGACAGCATGGTCTTCCTTTTCTGTATTTCAGACATACCAGCTATTTAAAGCAAATTGGTTGTAAGCAACTTCTCAATGATGAAAACCTATCTCAAAGGCTTCCCTCCCTTCCCCAAGCCCTTGCCTGTAACAGTCCCTCTGGGGAAAGCCAACGTCAAGGCCGACTGCTTCCCTGACACCGCCCAGACACGAGGGACTTGGGAGGAGGGTGGGCATCAGGACCTTGCCTGGTGAGTTGTCATGTGTGTGGTGGTGACTTTGTTTTTAATTGTTTTGTTTTTTTACAAAAATAAAGATAGAAGAACTTAATTGAAATGGTTCTTGTAAAACACCTCAAATTTTACTCACAGTATAAAAGTATTTAATAAGCGTCATATCAGTACAGAAAACACATAGCCTATATATAGCTCAGCCTTTAAAACCAGACAGCCAAGTAAAAAGTCAGTACAGATTCTTACTTTTACTTAAAAACAAAAAAAATCTAGGGTGCACATTGGGAATTAAAATTTTTTCTTTCTGGAGATGTGACATCATGTTTTCTGGTCCATAATGTTCTAGCAAACATAGCACTAAGCCAATGCACTAAATCAGAGCAGGCAGATGAACAGTGAAGCTGTCTGCTATCTATTCCTGCTGAGCTAGACCAGAACACTGTCTTGGTAGGAAGATTTTGACAGGAAAAAGGACCTGCAGACCCCCTCTCCCAACAGAAAACCTAACGAATTGATTGATACAGAAAAAGTTTAAGCAAACCTGCACACTCAACATGCTATGAGAAAAGGAGAAAGACCTTTAGTCTGCTTCTAGTTAAACACACACTTGCTGGAGCACCCACAGAGAAAGCTTGTCCGCTTTTGTGGCACTAATAGCTAAAAAGGACATGGCATATAATACTTTGATCTTGAAGTGGGTAATCATGGAACTTCCAAGATTATACCCACTAGGTTAGCCTGAGTATTCATCTATAAAAATATTTTTTTCAAAAATGCTTAAAACAGAGTTCTAGAAAGAGTGGGACTACATCAGGACCAGCAGAAGACACAGTGATACAGGGACTGCAAATGTAAGACTAGGAATTGACTTAGAATGTAGCTTTTAGGTAAAGGACATCTCTCTCGGTTGATTCCTACAGCCAAGACTTGCTGTGACAATAGGAGCTCCAGAAATTTCAAGATAGGCAGCTGGCTTGGCAAGCACCCTAGATAAATGCACCCAAACAGTAAAAACCCCATTTGTGAGACACAGGAACATGTGTGCTAGGGAAGGCCCCCCCCCCAGGCAGAACACTGGATGTGGGCTTGTCCGGGAGCCTGACTCAAGCCCCTGAGAGAGATGTCCACTTAGGGAGGAGTACTAGGGTTACTGAACACAAGGGTTTTCTGAAGAAACAGGTCCTAGGAGGGTCATGCCATTTTTTTTTTGACCCATCAATACTTGAAATTTATGAAGAGTTGCTGGACAGAGCCAGTCTCCCCAAGATCTCTTCTTCCATTGCTAGCTGAGGCCTCTGCCAGTGCACTTGACGGCTGACGTCCGGAACAACCTCGCTGCTGGAGGGGCACCTAGTGCCGCAGGTTGTTCTGGGAAGCTGGCATGGAGGATGATTTGCACAATGACGTCACCACTAAACCACTGCTTAAGTCCAGTCCCCGGCCTTCTTTTTCCTACATGGGGAAAGAAACAACTTCAAGAGGCAAAAATAGAAAAGAGTCCTCTCTAGCTCAGAACCCTGGCCTGGGAAGGAGGCACTCAGGGTGGGAGTGTGGGGCACCGGAGCACACAGGAAGGGGGAGAGTGTTACTGGCATTTTTGCTTAGCACTGGCCCCGGTCAGTCTTAAACACGAGAATGTAATTCCTCAGTAAGGGTCCCGGGTCCCTGACGGAGGACAGCGGCTCACTCCTCTGACATCCACTAGCTGCTACTGGCCAGGCTCACACGGAAAAGCACGGGAGGTGGTTTGTATTCCAACAGTTCTTGTAACTTTCTAAGTGGCTCAATGTGGCCGACAGGTAAGGGTGACTTACTAAAAACACAAAACAGCCCTGGCGAGTTTGGCTCAGTGGTTAGAGAATCTGGCTGTGGACCGAAGGGTCATGGATTCGAGTTCTGGTCGAGGGTGTGCACCTCAGCTGCAGGCTTGATTCCTGGCCCCAGGGTGGGTGCAGGAGGCGGCCAATTGATGTCTCTCTTACATCCATGTTTCTCTCCCTCTCTCTCCCTCTTTCCTCCCTTCCATCCCCTCTAAAAAAAGCAATGGAAAAATACCCTTGGGTTAAGATTAAAAAAAAAAAAAACACAAAAATTGGGGGGAAAAAAGAGTGACTTACTGCTCTGTAGTCCAGAAACATTTCTTTAAAAGCCAAAAAATCAGTAAACGTGAGCAGCATGTCGAATATGTCACCAGCCACTTCATCTTTATGGTGCCTGCAAAAGAAAAGGGTGGCTGTTCCACGAGCGAATGATGAGACTCTGTCTCTTCAAGATTTCAAAGCTTCTGAGGCCCTCCCACCCGGACCTGGCCACCACGTGCTCTCAGCCGTGATGTTCAAGAGCTGGAAAAATGCGCTTTTTTTTCTCTCCCCAGAAGAGGAGGAGGAAGGTGAAAAAAGGTAAGAGAGTTGAGCTCAACTCACTGTAAAGTTGTTGTGAAGGCTGCCATGTTAAATCCGGGAATCCTCTCCAGCAGCTGTTCTTCAATATACTTTTCCACCAAAGAAATCTGTAACAGTGGGAAGGATCTGTCAGACCACAGACTGCTGTCCAGAAAGCCTGTCCTAAGAGCCTCTGTGTTGAGTGCTGGGGATACCAAAGAGAACCGAAACAGCTCCTGTTCTCCTAGCTC